GCAAAAAAAAAATAAATCGATAAAAAATAAACAGATTAATTGTGTGAGTTTTAAATTGAACTTTAATGTTTTAAAACTCTTCGATCATCTTTGACATTTCCCGAGAAATTTCTCTATTGAGAGAGCAGGAAATTTTATTCGTAGAAAATATAAATTTTTTTGCGTCGAGACGTAAACGAGCCATACTCGACTCAATAATTTATTTCTGAATCATCGGTAAGCTACGCGACAGTGATGTTATATTTCTCAAGTCCGCTAATTTAGCGTACTCTATGCCACAGCAGATTCATCACCTGTTGATCCCATTCTTTCGTATTTGACGCGAATTGGATGTAATGTGCCAACCTATCGTCAGTCTTCGGAATTTACGATCTGACAGAAATTAAATGATCGAGTAGTGCAAACGTTGCTTTAGGCGAACTTTGCTATTTATCGTACAGCTTTGATCAAAAGTACGCTATATTTTTGAGAAATTGAACAATTTCTCTTGTAAAGACCGCGTATGTAAGCAATGGTGATATTTCTAAAAATAAATTTAAAAGATTAAAACTTCTCGTTGGAAAGAACAAGATATGGAAAAGCAAAATTATGGGTGCAGTGAAATATAAACTGAAATAATATATTAAAATTGCATTTAAAATAATAATATTGATATCAATTATTATATAATTAATTGTTATTAATTATATTATTAATATAACGAATTATTTCCATACGCGTAATTTCTATTAATATAATCCATTAAAAATGTGTCATATTTTTGTTTACAGAGAAATTTGTTACCTCTTTATATAAAAAATTGTATTGTATTTATATATAAAATTAATTAAAGATTACAATAATGTGTTATCAAATTTATTTCATTAATGGATACGCACGATCGATAAGAAATAATTACGCTAAATTGTACATAAGGCATAACGCAATTAAACTTCATACATATAGCGAAATAATTTAAACTCAATAATAAACACAAATGATATATATTGATCTGTATGGAAAGATATTAAAAGGCACAGAAAGAAGTAATGGAATTTTCAATTAGTGAATTCTAGCTTATGCAATATTAAGAATCATCCACAATGAAGAAGTGGAGTTAAATACATGTAATATATACGTATATGTATATATAAAATTGAATCGATTATATCGATATATAATATAATGTGATTCCAATTTAGCGCCATTATGAAATAATGAGTAACATATCGAATTACGTAAAGCATCGATGTAGATATTATATTAAAAAAATTTTAAATTAAGATGTGATAATACGTTTTTAATGCTTTTTTTTTATAATTGCTTTATAAAGAATAATTTTACTATTTAATAAGAATTGGCAATATTATTTAACCCAACAGTTTCACAATTACATCTATAAAAAAATGTTTTGAATGTCTATAGAGACTATATATAAAAAAAAGTTGAAATGTATTTGGCGATGAGTTTCTGCTGGAACGAAGAGAATCATTTCTACAGTGGAATAGTTCAAGAATGTTTTAAGATCTTTACTTCTCAATTCTTAGCATCGTCTCTCTATAAAGTAACAAAACGATATTTTGACGAGTGGCTATAAAATTCAGTTGGTCATTTTCGTTTAAAATCACTCGACGTCTTTTACATTTTTCTATCTTTTCTCTGTACGTTTTACTACCTCTGCTCGCGTTTCCAATTTAGAAGGTAGAATCATGATTATCCCGCATGTCTCCCGGGTGCCGTCGAGCTGCTCGCCGGAAATCGTTATGAGTACCCATCAGGGGCCGATGCATTTGATTCAATGCATTCATCAATGGCGGTTCTCGACATGTGCTTGAAGCTTATTCAAGCTACGTAAACAGGAAAATCATCCTCTCGAAGTGCCTCGTAAATGTTAAGGTGAATTTTCCCCAGTTAATTAGCATATTACTGTTGTTGACATTTAAACCGTGCTAAAGGAAGAATACGAATCTTAAGCATCGCAGCACGACAATTTTCTTTAATCAATACCAAGCGCTTGAACGGTTATAACTCGGCATTACGTGTCTTGTAATTACATCACGGTAATTTTCTCAGCGCGTAACAAGCTCGTAATCGATCGTAAATGTCCAAGTAAAATGAGACTAACACCTGATGTTGCCCGCAACAAACTAGTATCGGATTGTCTTGAATGTCTCGGGTTACAACCTCGTGAAAGGCGAAACTTTAGGACGTGTTCGATCGTGTTCCAATATGTCTAAGGAGAGGATTACGTAAAAATAAATAATCTTTTTGTACGGCAACGTAAGTACTACGTAAGTTAACGTTCGCGGCTGAGAAACTTTTAAATAGATTCCAAGTGGATTTACAGCTTGTCGGATTTCCTAAAGTCCGGGATAAAAGCCCCTCCATTCAAATACGTGAGAACCGCGACTCGAGAATGCTTGCGTCCCCTTAAAGAAAGAATACAGTCGAAAGAATAGTATTCTCGAATATTCTTTCTATTAGAAAAATTCATATATTTATTTCCGCGCATTTATTCGCCACGAGTTCTTCATCGATATCCGGTTTGAGAACCAATTTAATATTCCGTCGCAGTGGATAAAGAACGCTTTTCTTTTCTTCCAATACAGAATAACGATAGTAATTATCATATTCAATAATATATACGAACGTGATAAGCATTATTTTTCACAGAATTTTATGCCGCAAGAATTTTATTTAGAAATTGGTTACAATGTAAATTGGTTGTATAATACATACGTATATTATGTATTATTATTTATTTTGGAGGACATCATTATAATTTATATTCTAAATTACAACTCATTGATATTATAATATGTCATGATGTGTTTAATATCGTATGAATTCAAATTAATTAAATAATTAATGTTATATTTCTCTTTTTGTTTCAATTTTATCAATAAATATGCTATTTTATTAACACACATCAATCAATCTGAAATAAAAGATATATTTGTTTTTTAAATTATATGTTATGTTTTTAAATTATGTTATTCCAGTTGAAATAATCAATTTATACATCACACATACATGAATGACTTGGCAAATGTTAAGAACGAATTATAATGGGGATTTTAAATCGATGATATATTCATATTTCCAGTTTGAAACTTTTTTCTGAAAATTTATGGAGAAAAAAAGAAAGAGAGAAAGAGGAATCCTATGTGGTATTCAATTTTGCAGTGATAACGTTAAAGAAAACTAATTAAGTAAAACTCAAGTTCCGAATTACGCGCAAAGGAATCTGACATTCGAAAACGTCATGAAAGCAGACGCGCATTTGAAAGTGTCTCATTCATCATCGAGATAATTCTATGCGGAATCGAACCGGTAATCAACTATTCGATAATCACGCGTGAATGGAATTAAGTCGATAAACGTCGTACGTTCACACGTGGCTTTTAACGTGCTCGCGTGTGTCATAGACCAATCGTTATCCAGTTATCATCAAAAAGATAGCTGTGCAAACAGAGTTAGTAAGCAATTTCTGTTCTCCTAGTAATATTGTAAAAACCATGTACTGTACACCGTGTAGTTCGGATCGTGTACTAACATTGTAAAATTTGTACATAGCTAGTGTAAAGAGTTTTTTTTTACGGCACGATAACGTTATAACAGTGTGTTTTCGATGAAACCAGAGCACATCTCTGTTGTTCGACTTCGCGCGTATTAAAAAGGTTTAAAGCCGATGGATCGAAGAGCAGGTATGACAAAGAGGAAATGACTTTTTTCAGCTGTTTTTCAATTTATGAGTTTTTACAAAATTTTCCGCGACTTGTGTTCTCCAGTCGCTCCATAAATTTTGTCGCAATGATAGAGTCAATACAGTTAAATTATGAGTTTAGCGTAGCACACGAGAGTTAAATTAATTATTCTCACATTCATCAAACAGTAATAACATTCAACTTTTATACTCCGTGAAGTACGATAAATGATATAATTATAAATGAATGTTCTAAAGTTTTTCTTTTATATACGCTTTTACAACCCTTCTAAACCCTTTTACTTTTTTGAAAAAAAATCTCAGCTAATTCAACTATCGTAGATGAAAGGAGAAGCGGCGAGTTAGAAAAATGACCTATACGTTTCAGTATTTTCATTCGTTATTTTCTCTCATCATTTTATGCATATAAAAATACTAGGAAATCTGTGTCGTAGAAATAATATTTCGTTGACTACGGAATACTGTTTGCCTGTTGCTCTTAAAGTTACGGAAGTTTATATAACTTTGCTCGCATTTTTCACGTCAGTATTCATCTCATCACCAAACTCTGACTTTCAAAGCAATAGGAGAGAGCAGACTCAATCGCGACGTCAATCGCGACTTGTTAGAAAAATCTCACCTCGTTGCTGGATTCATTTGCTGCATCTCAAAGAGCTAATTATGCCGTAGCTCCTTGTTCTTGCAGCATTGAAGAGAAGGAAAACACGATCACGTATTCCTTGGTAAACAAAGACCTGTCCCAATTTCATTGAGACTCACACGATATCTGCCTTGAAATCATTTCACGCAATTTCTCACATACGATGGTTTGCTTCGTAAAGTATGTCTCTAAGGTCAAATATTTTCAGAAAATGAAATAACAAGGTATTATTGATTAGTTACCATAAATTTAATATCTGAATCGAACATGAACCATTAATTATTACATTATAATATATTTATCTATTACAAAAAGCATATGAAAAAGAAGATTATTAACAACAAATTTCAGTATGTAAGGTGTTTTACAATGTGATCTGAATAAATGCATTGTGGATTTAAGAACTAATGGTATTTTAAAAATGTAGATTTTATGCGTATTATGCATTGAACTTAACGCCATTACGAAGCAACTTTAAAGGACACTCTGAGTCCCGAATGCAAAAGAGTTAGACTTGTTATGTACGTCTAAATAGGTCAGCGAGCCACGTTTACGTATTCCGCAGGCGAGGGTGAATCGGCAGAACAGGGTGTTCTCTCGTCATTCCCCGCCTTGGTAGCAGTGACATCGTGGTCGGCAGGGGTCCACGGGCCCATGGCCGGGAATTGTTTTCGCTGGCTCTGGTGGTGGCTCCCGATCGCGGTCCTATCCGGGTGCTTCGTCCCACCGGCAGTCGAAGCAGGTATTTCGTGCACGTCCACCTATCCCGCGGAGACATCGCGTGACAAACGGTACGACACGGACGTAATAATCTTTCTGGGCGAGAGATGCGATGGGGAGATCAACATCACCGAGATACAGGATCACTTGGAGCACGCGCCCGATCTAACCAGCGAGCTCTCGATCAGCGTGTTACCGAGATCCCGTGAGTATACTGTACTTACGTTCGACTTTATCCGACGATACTATTTATTCAATAACGATGGGAAAAGAGCCGCGTAAGTATTGCAAATTTTATACGCGGTACCTATTTAGCTGGAAAGCAGTTTGGATATTTTATGTAATTACAGTGAGAAACGTGCTACTATATAGAACATGGTCCGAACGTGTAAAGAATATTGAAAATTTTATACCAATAGTCGCGATGACATTTAACGACGCGATAATTAATTATACAGAAGGATTCATATACAGTGAAATCTAAGGCATATATCGCACATGCAGCACATAAGATCGTAATCTTGAATAGATTAATTAATTCAAGGGTTATTTCTCTCACCCGAATAATTAATTACACTCGCTTATATGTTTACTGCATGCCAGAGTCGCAACATTAAATTAAACGTTCACGCCTTCCTCACCGAGAGTAATGGTATTACGCATATATTCACATAATATATAGAGCGTAATATAATCATTCGCATGGTTCTGTTAGGTGTTATCAAGCCGACCCTAAAATTTACGCACGCATGAGTCACACGATATCCAATAATCCAATTACGCATTCAAATTGAAACTCGGTTACAGTTATGCGTACCTATATATTTGGTAATAAGTGTCGGGTTGGTGAAACGCAAAGCGCCCAACTTTCGAGCGACGTTTGTCCATGTGAATAATATACATCTCGCGAAACGTAGCGAAATTGGAGTATCGTCGACGGCGCGACTATAACGCGATTTGTGTGGCATGAAGTCGCGCTCGAGAACGGCTCGCAGGCGATTCCCAGGCGTTGCTAACCCGATCTTCCTGCGAGAGATTCGCATTCAGAAAGCACCGCTAATAGCATCTCCATCGTATTGTTTGCACCGTTGTATCTTACACAATCGCCAACGGCCGCATAGACACGCGTACGTATCTCGTGCAGAGAGATACATACTCTCGCGTCTAAACAGAATCGTGTTTCAATGCGACGAGCCAAACATCGAGTTCGATGTTGCGTTGAGTACCGACTGTAACGAGGAAATACGAGAGCAGTAGTTGTCTCGTTATTATCCCAGATGAAAGAGGATAGCGAGCTTATCGGAATCGATAGCTGACCCACGAACCTATTGAAAATTGCACCATTAAATCAATGTACGTCACACCCTCTTTCGTTCTGTAATGCGTCTCTCTTACGAGTCACCGATAACAAGTTCTTGCGGTAGAAGATCGCCTCTAGCTCAATCTCGAATTCTTCGATCGTCACCCGCGCCACCAAGAATTAAATGGCATGATTAATTAACTTTTAGTGACGTGTGAGACGGAAACTGGAGGTCTTGGCGCGCTGATGCACGCTTTTGGCGAGAGCAACGCGAAGGCGGTGATAGCCGCGCTCGACAGCTCGATCTGCGAGGTCGCCGCCAAACTCGCGCATCTTGGGAATAAACTGCTGCTAACTTGGACTTGTCCGCTGGTGAGTGTTATCGCGTTTATTTACTTGCAGACGGTCTTCGTAGCTTATACAGTTATCGGAGTCGTTCAACGGCAATTAAGATATTTTCTATTTTCAGGAATGACTAATCTTTCAAAAATATTTAATATAGGACAAACCTGATATATATTACAATTCTTGATCTTGATCCAAGACTTCAAAGATATATTACATTTTTTCTGGAAAAGCAACTGCAGAGAGAAAAAGGATATAATTTTTAATCGCGTCAGAATAATTATAAACCGTCCTCGTGTATAGTTGACTGTTAATGACTTGTATCACTGATTTGTGCAAAAAAAATGTTTTATAGGTACTTTAATATTCCATTATTTTATACAACCCAGTAAGACTATTTTCAAAATTTAAATACAATAGTTTATTTAATTTTCATATCTGAATAATATTTATGATCCGTATTTTGTTTTGTATTTAGATTAAATCAATGCAAATAATTTCATACATATATAGATTGCAACATATGACAGAATGTCACTTTCACCGCGAATGTTATTACTATTTAAAAAATTAAATCGCGCTCTATGGAATAATAAAAGTATAAAATAATAAACATTATGTTACAAAGCGATAGACAAAAGAAAATATCAAATATCTACAAATATTTGCGATGTTTATTGCGGGGCACGTTTGTAGCAAACTATAAAATATAACGCGACGTTATTTAGCTTGTTGTATTTTTCTCGACGAGCAAAAGTTAAAATAATGAAAATGTGTGTGCTCGTAAATAATTACGTACAACGTAATATCCGGACTAAAATTGGAAAGGCCGTAAATTTTGTCTTGGTCTCTGCGCAATTGATTCTGCTGGAAGAGCCAATTTTAATACCGACTTGCTAGCTTCATTTGAATTGGACCTGATAAATAGTTATTTCCCGTTATTTAGTTTTCTAATTGGCGCACGTTCAATTATGGACACTTCCGATGCAAGCGACAAACTTGCAGTGTATCTCCATCGGATGTCTCGACGAGGTACAATAATAGAGCTTCGTCAAATTTCTCCCCATTCACTGTGAACTATATCCATTGATAAAATACATTTGCTTGAGCGAAACAAATTGTCGACTCACGAAAAACTTTCTTTATCTGCTCTTAGATATTTCATACGTTCCCCAAGGCGACAGTTATGTCAACGTTTCAGCGAATATACTTTCGGATATTTCTCGACTCGTCTGAAAAGACAATTGAACTTCGCAATACCGTTATATTTATTTAACCTTTATTTATCCTTTTCTAAAACCGAAAAAAAAAAAGCAAAATAAAAATTGTTTTAAAATGTTATTATTGCAGAGTGTGTATCTGTAAGGAATATTTTGGATTTTATTTTACTATGAGAAACACAAACAAATATACACGTATGTGTTATTGCTTTTGAAGAGATATATACGTAAAAATAAATATTCTGAAAATTTTTACAGATATTTCTCTATAAAACAATTTTGTTCGTAGGATGATATTGATTTCAAATATAATAGATACGCTGTAGACAGAAAACGAAACGTCTCAGTATCGTCTCGTTATAATTTGAGATTGCGAATATTTATCGATAATTTATGTTCCAGAGAGATTTAAAGGAGAAGGATCTATCTTCGATCATTAGGCTTTCTCCGTCATTACCGTCAATGGCAAATGCCGTAGCGGAAATATTTCTGCATTTGCAGTGGAAGACCGCGGCTGTTATCAGCATAGGTAAGTCCTCGAATAACACATATATATAATTACTCTAAATAAACTTTATCAAACAAATAACATTAGTAATAAAAAATATTATTTCAATTTTTGTTTTACTATAATTTTTTATCATTTATTCAACACAAATTTTTTTTATACCACTCCATTTGATTTAAATTATTTCAAAACTAAAGTACAATATTATAAAATAAAAGAATAATAAAAAGTAACTTTTTAAGGTGTAAATATAAGAAAAATATATGTACTATTTATAATAATTTAACTAAATTAAACTATTTTATTCTCAACTTTTTGGAGTGCCATATTTCCCTGATCTACATAATCCCGAGGTTTCTTTTACTTTACTATGCTAGAACTTTTTTTCATTAATGAAGATACATTTATTCGTTACTGTTATATTCTTTGATGTTTGGCATATCGATCAAAATTAAATTTATTACGAGACATATTTATTTTTATGTGATATTTTTCATCTAGATATGTAATATATGAAAATAATATAGAGTGACATCAAAGGGTTTAGAATAAATATAATTTGTGAAAATGGCTTTTTTAATATAGAGATTGCATGTGATAAGTTATGTATTTGTTTAAAGCTCTTGTCAATGCAATCACATCAATCATCTTAACTTGTTCAAAACATGACGACAGTCCCTCTTTTTGCTTTTCTCTCATAAAACAATTCTATGAAATTTAACTTAAATATATCCAGCGTTTCCAACAAAAGTGTATTTCGTAATAGTTAATTAAAATTTACAGACCTTATTAATTCACGACTTAGCCCGAGAATTACGTAACATATTTTGCAAGCCGTCCTCGTCAAACGATGCGAGAGAATAAATGTGCGACGCAAAAAAGCTCATTTATTCCAACGTGCGCTGCATGAAAAAAATTACATACGGCTCTTCAACCCTGACGTCACAGTCCGATCTGACTTAGTCGAGGTACGGATTAAATTGCAAATACGAGCGATGTGAAAGGATCCGGGACGATAACGACGATAACACCCAGTGACTAACCGAATCACGCCGACTGCCTGACTGTCCATTAAAACGCGATTGCTGCACGATGCGATGCGCCCGTTGAATTTTAATGTACGTAGACACAGAGAGATACGATTAATACCACAGATCGCGAACCGTGGTCCAGCCTGGATCATGCCATGATCAATGCGTTCCGACGGATCGGCGTCGTTCTGCGGTACCATCTGATTCTACCCCATCGCGCCACCCTCGAGCAGATCCGCAGGATTCTAAGATCCGTGCACAGTGTCTCCCGTCGTGGTAAGTAACGCACCCTTAATCCCATTATACGGAAACTCGCTGGCATTACTCGGCACTTACAGCTCCGACTCTGAGGATTCTCTCTCTCTCTCTCTCTCTTTCTCCGTTGAAGTAACTACCGAAACTATCGGATTGAGGATTAAATGGCGCGAGTTGACGCACCTTCTGAATGGCGAACGACACAACGTGTACACGCGTCCTTCTCACCCTTTCCTTATGTTTCCTCTGAGAGCCTTTCGTGATCGAGAACGTTTATGCAGCTTGGTTCACGACTCGTACGACGCAATTTGATGGCGGTGCCATTAGCTCCGAATTATTTCAGATAGTGTTCGCGATTTAATTCTTTAATTACGTTTCTTTGTCGCTAAATAATGTACATTTGCACATGGTGCCTCGAAATCTGCAACTTTTACTCGATTTAATCTAATTTAAAGCTGATTTATATTCTTCGCTAATACGTCGTAGAGATGCCAAAGGTCTTTTAACGTAGAGCTGCAACCTTTTGGCTTTTGCAAGAAAATGACAACATTTTATCATTTCCCGAGAAGTAAGTAACATCGAAAAACAGAGAATTCATTAAAATTCGTTAAAATAAACATACAGATTTATTGCATCTCTGCAAAGTAAATTAGTTTGAAAAAAATATCATTCACAAAATCAACTAAAGTAAAAATAAGACAAACACAGCGTGGCAATATAGACAGGTGCGAGTTATTGCTGTTATATACCCTTTGAGAATTGGATCTCTGGAAGTGTAAATCTATTTCTGAATCTCTTTACAAATCTTTTATTCTGCAGTTTTCATGGGGATGAAGACAGCTCAGTAAGCGAAATTCTCAGAGTAAAAATAACAGAAAACAAAATTGTTCTCTCATGTACGCGGTATGTGTTTATAGAGGGTCGTGAAGTTAACAACGTCTTTCTAAATGTTTCCTCTGTACATAAAAGACGTAGCGGAGACTTATACTCGGCTACTGAGCCAAGCTTAACGGCGATAAAATCCACCTGCAACCAATCTACCAAGTCCTCCCAACTGCAATATGTATGAAAAAAGGAGAACGTTTGTGTACCGTTATTACGTAAAATAAAATTTTGTCGCAGGTTATTGTATTTTTTACATTACATGAGTGTTGCGTAATCGCGCGTTTCAACATCACCGCAACTCATAATTAGTTAACGACAATTTACGACGCCTAGTAATAATGTACTTGCGGATGCAAATGAATCAAGTAATGGCACGACGTGACTTATTCAAGAGCAAGCCCAAGCGAAACACATCTCTATATGTATATGAGATATGATGTAGTTAAAGCTTGTTTTAATTAATTTCAGGTTCATGAATGAACGGCTCGCTTTGCGTTTCGCTAAAATAAACACGATCTATCGCGAGTTTGGGGAAGGTATAATTATTATTACGTCGTCAACGTAAATGTAAAGGGCACGAAATCGCGGAATGGCTTTTCCTAGAAGAGGATCTTGCCCGTTCAATTATTGCGCCAAGAATTTGTTTTGTCATTACAATATACATCAGAGTTACGAGTATATTCCACGAAAAGCAATGTTTCTTTGCTTTTTCTTCCTGCAGCTAATTAATATTAATTAATTTTATATAGTGCTTCATCTTCAAAAATTCTTATAATATTTTAATTAAAATCTTCAGTTTTAACACATTTCTGAAAGGGTTATAAAAATATATAGCTATAAATTTAATCTCCATTCGATTGGTCATTTCTTATTCGTCAGCTAGCTTTAATATATTATTTTCTATTTTTTACCCTTCTCTTCACTATGCCCTTTTCCTCTGTTTGCTCCTTTATTTTTCTCGTCTGTACATACGTATTCACAGTAAAAAGTACGTTGCATGTAAAGGCAAATATATAATTTTACGTAAAACAGTAACAAAAAATGAATTTTACTGTTTCCTCGTTTCTCGTATTGATAAAACGTATTTTGATTTTTAAAATATTCTTTTTATAAGAAACTAATAACTTGTCGGAAATGTTTGGAATTTTTATTGAATATTTATCCAATTAGATGAATAAATACTAAACGGTTTAGTGATCATGTCTAAAGTATATGTACAGCAGTTAATACTGAATCTAATCCCTTAATGCCATGACTAAGCACATAGAACTTACTAATAAATTAAGGATGATTTATTAACAAGACTAAAATGCTATAGATCTTGAATACAATTTCCCAAATAATCAATTCCAACAATAAAAATCTTCTAATTGACCCTCAAATTTCAAACGAATCCACAAGAAATCCTATATTTGGAGGCGAATGAGAGTGCCGCGTTGTACGAAAGTCTTAACTCTTATAAAAGGATTAGAAATAGATATATTTTTCATCTTTTTCTTTTTATCAACGATTAAACCTTAATTAACTAAATCTAATAAATAATCGTAAATATAATAATACCAAATAACAAACAATTCCATGAGTGGAAATTGCCTGTCCAGGCTCTCTTTTGACTGAATTTTTTATTTGTTCCGCGAATATTTTTCATATTCCTCTTTACATACGTCATGCATGTCCAGGCACGCAACTTGATCCCTCTTTTTGTGCCAGCTATGGTGCTCTGTCTACCGCTGCTCGACGAGATGACGAGCCGCGTTCTGATCGAATTGAACGTCGCGTGGCAAACGCACATCCAGAATTCCGCCATCCTGATGATCCACACAGAGGATATCGACCTCTTTCTACCGAAAGACGTCTCGCCGCCCACGTCGCACCCCATCGATCCATCAACCTCGGTCCACTCAGCGATTACTCAGTCTTCCAATTTTTCTACCTCGAATGTAACTCACGCTGGCCCATATGCGACCCCGGAAAGAGGTGAGAGAATGCAGAGGGTGCAGCAGACCGCGCGGAGATTCGCCCCACCAAGAAATCTCAGCAGCACCACGATAGAAAATCTACTTGTGGTCGCGCCGCTTGATCAGAGGTAATCAATCATTAACGACGTTAACCGAGATACTTTATTGATGTGAGTAGTTGCGAGTTTAGAATATTCTGAACCCGAAGAATAGTGTAGCTCTTCTCTCTTTTTACACAGAACATAAAATTAGAAATTATCTTTAATATATTAACTGACACAAAGATATAGACTATTATATTATATATATATATATATATATATATATATATTATTTTAATCATAAATGTTATATAAATAATAAAATCAATTTTAATTTTCTTATTATTAATTAATTTTGAAATTAATGGAAAAGGTCTTATAATATTCATAACTTTCCTTCTTAAATTCAAATTTGTTTTCATTATATTATCCATCCTATAATAAACGGTATACCTTTCGTGATGAATAAAATTCTTTCTGCGTCATGAATATGTATTATACTTTTTTAGAAACCTCGTGAAACTGATCAACAAGTTAAGACTTAAGTCTTAATTATTATTAATAATCGCAATTAAGTCATTCACAAATGTCGTAGTAGAGCAAGAGCGTAGCAACGGATCATAAATAATTCTGCAGTCATGTTGGCAAATTAATTAACGTCCTCAAAATTATGTAATTAATCACTTGTTCTTCAGAACACTTGTAGCTTATTTTCTTCGTATACTTATACAAGAAGGGATATAAGTACTAATACTAGCGAAGATTTATAATGGCAAAAATTCCATTTAGTTGCCCAAGAAAACCTTTCCAAGATGAAGTTTTACAGACCCTCGGAATATACGCAAAAAATATTAGCACATCGTAATGCAAGCAACAGCTTTTACCTTTTTAGAGGCACTTATGTATATACTCATAATAATTAAAAATATGTATATAACTTCTAAAATATCATATCAAACGTTTTACTATGTTGTGATAAATTAATGTTAATATATATTCAAAAAATACGAATGCAAAATACGATAAAACGACTGTTGTGAAATATTTTTAGTATAAAATACTCGAACATTATTTGTTTTCTAGTTTGAAAATATTGACAATGTACTTAAAATGCATCATATTTTTACTAGTAATCAGAGCTGAATAAATTGTTTAACACAAATCTAATAGACAAAATTTGAGTGGAATATACATAGATTGTCTAGAAATCAGCTGGGAAATCTTAATTGAAAAGCCTCCCTTATTTGATCGAGGCACCAAGGCGATAATTACGAAATTCCTTCCGAACATAACGATCCTGAATTATAATACAAATCGTGTCTGTCGAATCATCGAGCCGAGTTAATTGTAGGCGTCGATCCGTGTAATTCGCTCCGTGATTAACTTATGGGAACAGCCTGTAGTATCCTTGATACGGCATAGCGTCGCGACATCGCGTCGCCTTCTCAGAAGAGACACTTTCTCTTGATTTCTTACGCAGGTACGACGTGAAGAAGATCTTTAATGGCACGCAAGATTACGCAACGCTGGCGTTGTTCGATCGACTGAACGAATCATTGACTGTGCTAATGCGCGATAACAGCAGTCTTGACAGCCATAACAATAAGATATACACTTATGCCCTGATGAATTGGCGTGACGCCGGCTGGGAGCCAATCCTTGCGGTAGTCGAACGGCATCAGCAGTTGCTAGTCCAGCAGCTGACGCCAAGCGCTGTGGCATTTCTGAACATCGAGGGTCCCGATCCGCCGTCTTGCGACGTCGATGGTGATTGCCCGAGTAAGTTCACAGGAAATCCAACAATAGACGCATTTGCATCTGTCTCTTTGCGTGACAATTTTATCGTTGAATTAATATGATATTGAAAGCAATAATATTCAAACAGTAACGGTGTAAACCAATCTCTCTGATGGATAATGCACAATTAATAATGCAACGTACATGTTGTGGAAGCGACATTAAAAGAAAGAGTTTATTTATTGAGTTTTTTTATCTATAATGCATGATGCTGGTGCGATCAGTATCTTTCTCGATCGTGCGCTTTGCGATACTATCGGGAAAAATACTGTCAAAAATAGGACGGGATAATTGCGGTATATAAGGGAAAAGCTAAGGAAGGGTCCTCTCTTTGTACCTTTCACCACTGATCGGGATCGATAGACACCGCTCCCTCGATTCCGAAAATATCGCCCGATAACCCCTAATGAGGTAATGCAGTGCATTAATTATTTAACAGATGGCTTGGCCGACATGTCTTTCCGTACCACACATATCGTAGCTATTATTCTGGGGTCGCTGCTGTTCACCTTTGTCGCCATCGCCGTCGCGATTATAATCCGGTGAGCGATCACTTTATCACGTTATACATCATATCATTTATAGGCCGCAGCCAAACCGTAGAAAATGCGTCAACGCGCCCATTGCCCCTAATCACCAGAAATACTTCTTCTTTATTTCTGATGCGTTTTAGAATTAATGATAGTTTTTCAAGGACACGTCCTGAGTTTTTATTAGCGTTTTTTCAATTTTTATATTGAAATAATTAGACGAGTTATGACAAATCTTTTCTCGTTCTCTAATAAATTTTATTTTCAATGTATTTTAATAAATGCAAGCAAAAGATTTATTAAATATATTAAATATAAAAGATGTATTAGATAAATACTAAATATATTAAGATGTATTTATCTGTATTATTTAATACACAGAAAGCATTCAATAGAAATATTCTTGAATTTTTCAACGATTTTCCAAGCGTTTGTATATACAAACATATTTCATAATATTCTTAGATTTTTGTAATTCTTAAGATTTAATACTGGATACTTAAAAAATTTATTGTAGGAAGCGACTGCTTAAGAAAAGAATGTCCAAAGGTCCGTACAAAATCATTCTAACGACGTCGGACTTCGTTTTTCCTCAAGTGCCTCCAGTAGATTCCAGAACGGTGAGTAGAATTTTATTCAGGACATGACAGGAGCTTTTAATCCTTTCCTTTCAACGTCGCCAAAAGGATTAAAGAATCCTCGCATAGAGTTACTGGAGTTATTAATGAAGTTCCTTGGTTGCTTCTTTTATCAATGTCTTTGATCGTTCCTATGTGAAATATTCCGCAAATGGCGTGAAAGATATTAATATCTGTTACTAAACTTATCGATAAGTTTACGTTGTTATAAAAATTCTGCGGTGTTTACGTTGCATTATACGCGTCTAAACAAAACCATAATCCTATAGTTCTATATAGTGAAAATAATTTTTCACTGTCGTTGGGATTGTGAAGTCGTGTTAGAGCACTGCGGACTAACTTTACTTTGCGGGAGAAATTCTTCTTAATATGACGCAACGGAACGTTCCGTACAAGAAGGCTTTCTACGGTCTTGATAGGATATATATTTTACGCGAGAAAATGGTAGCTATATGAACTCCTAAATTATTTGTCTCACGTAGTAGAAATAGCTGATAAAAGTGCTAAATGTCACACCGTGACTCCATTTCACACGACTTCATTGAACCGCTGAGCGAACTTTAAGCACCTATCTATACACTAGTACATTAAACGTTATGAATACTTGTCGTAATCCTTACTTTAAAAAATTATGCTTTTTTAAAATTTAGACTCTACTCAACGATTGCATGCTTGACATAAAAGAATGATGTAAATTTCATATTTATTTTGTAGAACATGATTTTTCCTCAAAGAAAAAAATTTTTTTAATTTATATTTACAAAGCTACAATTATTATAAAGAAGTATACGTGAAAGAGATATTTGTAACGAATAAAATAAAAACAATAAATGCTTTAGATTTAGACAATTTTCTGCATAACTTATTTAAGCGTCTAAAGTATTTATTATATTACTTTGATGTCTATCTAGCTTCGATTTTTCGTTTCCATACTCACAGCTTTTTTTGTATCGAGAACTAGATGAAATACGAAATTGAGATTTCGATAAACATTCTGTATAGCTCGAATCTATATTACCTTGCATCTTACGTTTAAGTAAATTCCACGATAAGACGCACTTTATCGCACACAGCTCGTGCGTGTTCTCAGGTAGACGAAGGCATCGAGGCGATGCTGTGCTGCTGGCTGCAGCAGCTGCAAGAATTTGGCGGGCCGGAAGTCGAGAAACCGGATCTGCTTCAACTCGGGAGCGTGAACTCGCTAAGGCCATACCTGCAGGCCAGCGGGGGAAACATACCGAGGCATACCTTCTTCAAGGATCCGCGTGCTAGATATAACGTGAGTATATGTACGTAACACGATGTGTCATTTAACAATCACGCCTGGATACACTTCGCGTCCACGTCTCGTCTACAATACTCGAACGCTACGTTTTCGATCCTCTTCACCTCGATCTCTTATCTTGGCTACAGATTTTAATCTCCGTTAAACGAGTTTTGTGTTGACCCAGCTAGAATCTACTTACTGATGTAATTTACAACGACATGCGGTGATAGACACGTGAAAATAGTTCACCAATATTTTCTAGTGTCCAATTTTATACCGTTCCCATGTGTGTATAAAAAGGGAATAGAGCGAGAATCAGTGCGGGAAAAAAGAAGACTTGGGACGTCCATATATCTGCTTTCAAGGCATTATCGGTATGCTGCATTGTATACCTTCGCCCTTGCAAACAATTTCACCCTTGATCACTTCCGAGAATTTTCTGCTTGACGTGATGCACGGTATTATCCGACAACGCTAAGAATATATTCCGAGACACATATTGATATTCATTTTTACGCGTCGTAGACGTCAGTCATACTGTGACGTTGATTAATGCCTTAAGTTTTGGAATACGATCAGGACGATAAGAACCTCTTGCACCTAATGAAGATTGATAAGACAGTATTAAAATACGTTGCAGAGCAGCTGCAAGTTAATCTTCAGTCTATTTCAATCGAATATAAAATTTTTCTCTGGGTGATATAAATCAATATGTAACAAGATTCGATGGATTTAACGTTATATATATATATTTATTAATGCTCAAGTTAATGATACGTTTTGATTTCTGATAGGGTGACTTGGTTCAATTGAAGGAGCTGCCCTTTCAAGGTACGTTCGAACTGAAGAGCAAGGCCATGGACGTGCTGGTCACGGTAAAGGCGCACATCCTTTTATTCATTCCTCTGAGTTAGATTCGATCAAGTTTCTCCCCACTTCCACGTTTCTACTTTTGAGCAGATCCACGGGCTGCGACACGAGAACCTCAATCCTCTGATTGGATGCCTTAACGAACCTACGAGACCTTGTCTAGTATCGGAGTACTGCTCAAGGGGCTCCCTGGAGGACGTACTCGTCCAGGATGAGATTAAACTCGACTGGTCCTTTAGATTATCCTTACTTACCGATCTTGTACGGGTAAGTACAATCTGGAATATGATACGTTAAATACATAAGTCGTCAAGAAAATTCCAAGAAACCAGAAAGATTAGAAAGAACCAAAAAAATTTGAAAGATATACATTTATACATATCTCGTTGCCGTTTTATTTTTAATTAATATAACAAGAATAAAAATTAAAATGGAACATTAAATGTTTAACATCCGTACAATTTGAAAAATATTAAAATTATTATATAGAATAATCAAAGATTTTAAATTTTTATTTTTATGGTAATCTTTGAATAATTTCAAGTTTCGAACTTGAAATTGATTCTGTGTCTAACTCCGAAACTATGATAATTTTGGATGGCTTGTTTGCTTCAGGGTATGAAATACCTTCACAGCACTCCAATACGCGTCCATGGCTATCTCACGTCGCGAAATTGCGTGATCGATGCGAGATGGGTCTTAAAAGTTACCGATTACGGTTTGCCTGCATTTTATGAAGCTCAGAATATAGTACCACCAGTAAAAACAGCTCGAGGTAAACTTGTTTTGCTTCGACTTCTGTTTTACCTCATTATACCTTCTTCAGTGTATATTTGATGTGACATTTTTTACGTAACATTTATAATAACAAAAGAAATTTTTAATTAAAACTTAGATAAGCAAAAAATATTTTAATATCTCTTACAGTTCCTCAAGAATATCAGATTACAATATTACATAAATTTATCCTTAGATTTACTTTTTGAATTGAATGAAGATTGCATTTCGCACTCATCAGGCGCTATTATCTAAGTGTTTGCGCGCTGTTTAGAATTTCGAGATACTATTTAAGATACTTAAGTTATAAAGTTTCACTAATTAAAAGTTAAACTGCATGCTTCGCACTAATGGAAGATATTCAAACCAAGAGTCACGGTTTCGCATTACTTTAGAAAATAGGATTACAGTAGAGGAATGAAAATAGAATTAGAATGAAAATAACATAAGCCGCTATTAATTTTGTTAATGATTATCGACTTACTGGATTGTCGGATAGATCTGTTATGGACCGCGCCGGAACTGCTTAGACATCCGAATTTACAGAAAAAGGGAACCCAGCCGGGAGACGTTTACAGTTTCGGAATTATCATGCAAGAAGTCGTTGTTCGCGGAGAACCATTTTGTATGCTCGCCCTATCTCCAGAAGGTAATGTAATGTAGAGAACACACATATCACGTATAGTTATTTTAAAAAGTTAATTTTTAGGAAAGGAAACTGAAAAGTATTGCCCAGAAAGCTTACAATTCATTATATTTACGTTCCTTTATCTTATAAAGGCATAATTAATGTAATCTCTAAAACTTAGAGTATCTCACTTTTAAAGATTGAAAATTCAGCCACCCTTTTTTAAACTGGTTTAATTTTTACTTTTTAGAGTGAAATTCTACTTCAAAGAATTTGAAGAATTCTACTTTAAAGAATTCAGAGAATTCTACTTCAAAGAATTCAGAGAGTAAATTTAACTTTATATATGCAATTATAAAAGTATATCGATAAAAATAAAATTTTGTTCTTTGTGTTGTGAGCATTTATTATACTTAAAGGAAGCACAAATTTTTGAAGATACATGAAAATCCATTTTTCCTATTATTTCATACCCAAAATAATGAAATAAACCAAGAAAAATGTGCTTATATCTTTCTATCATTTATTTTTAATCGTAATAAATTATTGATTTCGAAAGGTGAGGATGAATGCAAATTATACTTAATACGATAATCACTGCGCAAACGTCTCATATTACACACACATTTATGCAAATTATATTTATCGAAAAAATAGAATAGTAATAAATGAATGAGAAATGAGTTAAGAATAAGTCAATTCATCGCACGTATCGTTTTCCGATAAAATGATTAACGGCAAATACATAATTAGAATTCAGATTTTGCAATTTATTATAAATTAAATCTGTACCCGTTAATTTATCGATATTGATTTTAAAGAATTATTTTACAAACGTGGAACTCTCTCTACGAAATCTTGCAACCGTGCAATTGATTGTCAGCGATTTGAAATTCGAACGCTTTACAATTATTACGTTCGAGAACCGAAACGTTAGGCATTTCGCCTGTCTCGCAGATATAATCGAGAAAGTAATGAAACCACCACCCCTGATAAGACCGTCAGTCAGTAAGGGCGCTGCACCACCGGAAGCCATTAACATTATGCGACAGTGCTGGGCGGAAACTGCTGAAATGAGACCCGATTTTGATGATGTACACGATCTCTTCAAGAAGCTAAATCATGGGAGGTAAAATCGGTCCGACTATACCATCTTGAGACATTATGCTCTTGTGCTCTTAGAACGGAAATATTGAATGTAACTTTGGCCGGAAGTCAAGGTCTGCACTGTCAAAATCCGTTTTTCGCAGATTTAATCATGATTCAATAATACTGAATATAATTTTATTTTCGATTATAAAGACTTCAATTTTAACAAGCATTATAGTTACAGAGCTTTACTTGCGTCAATAAATTTTAGCAATTAAATAATTGATTTATTTAAATATTTAGAAAAACGGTCTTTATCAATTTCAAAGAAACGTCTACTTTTTAGCTTTTAATTTTATGTAACTTAAGTACATTTTGACAGTAATTGAAAAGACGCTGCTGTGTCAGACATCGCGTTTTATTTTCAGAAAGGTAAACTTCGTGGATACGATGTTCCAAATGCTCGAGAAATACTCGAACAATCTGGAAGAACTTATTCGTGAGCGTACGGAACAGCTTGACATGGAGAAGAAAAAGACCGAGCAATTATTGAATAGAATGTTACCTAGGTAAACAACGGAAACATTTAAAATTTTGTCATTTCATGAGAATAATGTTGTCAGAATTGGTTGGATACAGTTATTGTTGATAATAAATTTTAATCATTCATTTCTCAATTGCTTAAGAATTAGAACTGAAAATTGACGATTTGTTCAAAAATTTTTTTAATTGACAAATTGATCTAGTTTTCGTGTTTTTGGGAAAATTAGCGTATTTGGCTCAATATTTCTAGTTCGGTCGCCGAAAAACTGAAGCTTGGCATGCCCGTTGATCCTGAAGAGTTTCGCGAAGTCACCATTTATTTCTCGGACATCGTTGGCTTCACGACGATATCCGCGCGCTCGACACCTTTTCAAGTGGTCGATCTTCTCAATGATCTGTATACTTGCTTCGACGATACGATTAATGCATACACGGTTTACAAGGTAATCTCAATGAATGAACTACGTAGCTATATCATTTTTCGACAAGTTTATTTATAAATAATTTTTTTAATATAATAAAGATAAAATAATGTAATTGTATATGCAAGAGAATGCATTGCACAATATAAAATAATAAAATATTAAGCATTATTATTTTATGAAGAATAAATATGTTTTGAATAAAAATCGTACTTGGATGTTGCTTCTTTAAAAATGCTTTAAATTTTTTAAAGTTAAAAAAATTGTTTTATGTCAGAAGCTTGTCGGATATGTTTCGATATTAACAGAATAATTCGATTAGGTGGAAACTATCGGAGATGCCTACATGGTTGTAGGCGGTTGTCCAGTAAGAATACCCGATCATGCAACTCAAGTAGCAACTATGGCGCTTGACCTGTTACATCAAAGTGGAAAGTTCAAGTTGAAACATCTTCCGGACACTCCGCTTAGATTACGCATTGGCCTTCATACGGGTTAGATAATTAAATAATTTCTATACTTAATTCACAATCATTTCGTAATCATTTTATAATCGTTAAAATAGAATAATCGGAAGATCTATATTTTAGACTTTTATATTTTCAATTCTTTTTTGAATATCAAAAAGTTGATACAATTTATCATGATCAACGTTTAAAAGCTTATTATTTTAATTGATTAATAAATATTTAATAAATTCTCTCTTAATTAAATTTGAAAACTTTAATGAAAATAAATTTCATATAAACGGTCGATTGTATTTTCTTGCTTGTAGATTTATATCGTTTCTAGACATTACGCTGATTAAATTAGTGCTGAAATAGCAAATCTGAATGATATGCGTTTTTTTTTTAATCAGCGTTTCTTTTATTGCGAAAACGTTTTCATGTTCTCCGGTTGAAATATTAAGGAAAGGAATTCACTTTTCCTTCTCGTCAGGCCCGTGCTGTGCCGGCGTAGTAGGTTTAACAATGCCGCGTTATTGCTTGTTCGGTGACACTGTGAATACCGCTTCGAGGATGGAATCGACTGGGGCGCCGTGGCGTATCCATCTGAGCCAGGCGACAAGGGATCGATTGACACAGGTTGGTGGATACCACATTGAATACCGAGGGCCCACTGATGTCAAGGGTAAAGGCAAGATGCCGACCTACTGGCTTCTCGGCAAGCAGGGTTTCGACAAGGAGCTCCCCAAGCCGCCACCCCTTAGGTAAGCCATTCCACCGGAAACATTTTCTGAATTCCCATCCCATCGACATGTCCTACCCCATTGCACGTCTCTAGGTCCTGCAAGTTCTGGTCGTCATCTGAAAGTACTCGGACGTGATTTAACGTTTCACGTGCATCCGACAGGCTTTATTAAGTTCAATTTATTGCGACAAATCTTTTTCTTTTTATATTCGACGTGAATGTTATCTCTTTCTTTTTATCGCGCTTGGAACGTGACGAGGGTAGTTCCAAATAAATTCCCGAGTACCTGTAGCTTACGAAGTATATAGCACAAGTTATCGTGAAGAAAAGGGTCGAATTTAATCAACAAAGTTAGCGCATATTCCTTTGATTAAGTGTCAGAGAATGCCGAGAAACACGCTCCAGAGTTTTTAATTATGTAACAATGAGTTGCAGACGGCCCCGTACTTTGTGTGCGTTATCAACAACAGCGCGACTTTTACCTCATATTTTACTACTTATAATTGTTCGACGTACTCACGAAAGTGATACAACAACAAAGTTTTCTCTCTCGTACATTAACTATTCTTTTACAACACCCGAGGGCGAAAAGTGACCTACTCGGTAACGTGCATATAAGCAAGGTAGAGAAAAACCTGGTATTCTTAAAATTAACGTTTATATTATGCAGGGTGTTTCCGATTTGATGTGTAACCTTTCAGCGAATCTAAGAAAAATAGCTATCTCATAAAATTCAAGGAAATCAATGTTATGTTATTCATAGTGATGTAAAGCGAAAAAAAAAATTTATTCTTGTTATAGTTCACATACAAGTGAGAAAAAAAGATGTTTTATCTGTAATTAATTTCGAATGGACGCAAAAATTTAAAATATAATTGAAATGCATATTTATATAGCAAAATACTATTTAAAATATATCATAAATTAAATTAATTGAATTTTGTTATCAATTATTTAATAATGCGATAATAATTTGAATACGTGGCATAAGCAAATTTGATAAAAAGACGTTCAGTTTATCTCCATTTCCACTCCTTGTACATTTTTAATACAATTTTTTTTTGCATCATTTCATTTCCAGATATTTATGCTTGTATCTCTTGTTATTCTGCTGCCACACTTAGGGAGAGCCATGGGTGAGTAGGCTTTCAAATAAATTATTCAACATTCAGATCCATCATATTATTGCTTCATATTAGATAAATCTTTTTTTTTATGATAGACAGTAATGTAGCAAAAACTTTAATATTAATTTCAGTCATCTACCTAACATCTTTCACCATAATTATTTATTAAATTTTTTGTCACCTTAAGAAATCAGAAAATTTAAAAAAAATTCAACACGAACCTTCATGATTCAGTTAACAAGCAACGTAAACTAAAATGAGAATGTAAAAATGCAGCGCATGAATAAACATACACCAGAGAGCCCATCAGCATCAAAACGACGTTTACGTCAAAACGTCAATTACTGTAAAAGTTGCTTCTCAGGCCCTTACCCAAAGTTTAATCCTTCGTCGCCTAAAGTTAAGTCTATCTTTCTCGTGATGTAATCATATCATTCCTCGGATGTAGCTGTAATCACTTTTATAACTTTCCCATTTCTGTCAGCTCTCCACGAGCGATAGCGGCACTAAAACGGCACCACGTTCATGAATAAACACCCATACGAAACATCTGGGTCCACCAGCGTCAAAATGCCGTTTGCATCGAAATGTCAATTTTCGCGAAAAATTCTCAGCATCCTGCACATTCCAGTATGCGAATCGTTCGGCGGAAAATAGCGGTATACAGAAGTAACATAAACTTTTGATGTATACCAATTTTCATGCACTAGCACTTCGGGATGACACAAAATTTGAGTTCTTCTCCCTTTATACAGAACCTTAAAAACTATAATAAAAGTTATATTTTAAATTTATTAAATTTTTGCAAACGCATCTTCTTTCTAGTTTTCTTATTCTTCGTTCTTCAAAATGTAAGAAATGACTCACACTACTACAGTCATCTATTCCGCCCAGCGGTTCATACGTTTCCCTTTGAATTTCCTAAATTTTCTGAAGGCTCGACGAAAATCTCATGCTGGACAGCCTCCAGAACGGAGTCGGTACCTTGGCGTGCCCCCAGCTACCGGTAATCCCGTCGCAGGACGAGACGCACGAAGAACTGCCGAGTCCCGAAATTAAACCCGACCGTCAGGAGTCCGTCAGCAGCGAAGTCACTACTGGCAGTAGTCGAGCCGCGTCTTTCGAGGAGGCTGCCAGCACTAGGAAGGTCGCCGTGTCCGTACACAACGAACGCACCTTACTGCCGAGCTATTCTTTGAAGTCCACCAACGACTTCATCGAGGTATTACAGGGCAAGCAGGACACAGCGACGAAGACGAGCGAGGCGGTTCACAGCGGCATGACCAAGAGCACGTCCAGCGACAACCAAGTTTCGCTCGGCATGTCGGCGTCTGGTGCTGATCCGCCCGCGGCACTCCTCGGCGCGTCTACCAGTTCGCTTACGTCGATCGCCAGCTCGACGGCGTATCGACAGCCGCTGGCGAGGCATCGCCGCTTCGCTCCTGGATGCATCGATGAGAACGATCTCAGTACACCGTACAATCATTACAGATGTCTGTCGCCCAACGAGTATCACGGTACGTGTTAGGAAATTTGAGGATCTTTCATCATATCTTTATTTCACCTCGAAGAATAATTATTCCTTTAAAATCAAATTTGAAACTCAATACTTGATTAATAAATGTTGCTTTCTAAATTTGAAAATTTTTTATTGTAAGATGAAAATCTCATAACCTATGAAGAAAAGGTGTATTTCAAGATATCTGGCCTCAATTTTAGTGATTGAATTTTTATATGCAAATGAGATAATTTTATAAATGTATATGTATGTATATACATATAGAATTTATTCGTATATACATATTGAATTATTCAAATATTTCAAATGTTATAAAAATATATAAGATTTGCAATTGACGTTAATCTTGTGTTTTTAATGGATCATATTATTTTCTCTGATTTCAGTGAAGGGCCCTGGATGCCGAATGCTCAAGAGGCAATTTAGCCTGGATCGTCCGGACGAACCAGTGTCCATAATTCCGGAGCAGCTTCCGCCGAGGTCAACTCCTCGTCTCTACAAGCAAAATAGCGCGGGCGCAGCCAACGACTTGGAGAGAATCGAGGAAGTGCCACCAGCAACTCCTAAGCCCCTCCTTCAAAATTATCGTCATGCTGCTTCCGTATCCCTTTCCGTCGAGTCCCTATCATTACGTTAAAATCCCTTGAGAAAAGTTTTACGAGCTGAAAATCGAACATGATACAACATTCATCGCGATATGAACGTATCACATTTGGAGCAGCAAACGATTCGTGTGAAGACACGCAAAGAATCGCTATTACGATGTAATTGATAAAAAACCGTGTAAAAAGGAAAGATTGAATTACAGTTTTATAACCGTAAATCTCTACTTCTAGAGAAGAATAAGGGATCTCGGTTAAACTAAGATTAGAAGTTATGAGATTAGAAAGAAATGTTCACTCGGAAACTGGATCGCAATAATTTGTTTTTGAGGATTGATACTTTTCTGATCAAATGCGTAAATGGATATATGATTGCTGTGACTTGTTGCAGCTCCGTCTATATTCCTATCTATGCGTACATTGTATTGATGTCTGATAATACCCGCAGGCAGGGAACTGAACGAACGCAATTCGTGATTAGAGATTTAATGGTTTAGGCGTGTGTTTACGAATAATTGTTGGTGCAAAGAAAAACTCCCTAAAATTTAGGAGCAATGAACTCTTTTCTCCAACGTGTCTGTATATACTTGTCAGTTTTACATGCTTCAACGATAACAATAACATGTTTCATTGATTCCGCTCAACGACGCTGTCATTTACGATCTACTTTGAATTATCAGTAACCCAAATAGAACAGATATTTAACGGATCCTCTTAGATATCTATCAAATGTTCAAATGGTACGCGATTCAGAATTCTGAATATTTTAAATATTCAAGAGGTTCCTTTAAATTTGTATGTCTAAATTTCAACTAGATGTATCTTAATTCCTTTATTAGAACGTTTTGAAATCTTAAACAAATACTTAATAATATACTTCTCATGTTTCCAAGTTTTTCACAATACTGCGTAAAAGCGATCGTTTTTTACCTTGCGAAAATTAAAAATTGTCCTCCCTCCCACAATCGTATATCTTTGCTAGATGTACCCCTAAAGCGTATCCCTAAAGCGAAAATCTAAAATCGATTTTACTGGATGAAATTTTAATGTTAGAAGATCATTCCACGTTGTGGAAAAATAAGAAAGTTCCAATTTCATAAACTTAAAGTGGATCTTAGACTAACAAAGGCAAGACAGATAGCAAGATAATACAAAAAGAAAAATATTTAATTAATTAATCAATTGTTTATAATTTTTGCTAAATATATCTCGATATAAAAATTATTCTTCAAAAAAAGAACCGTTAAATATATCGCTCTCGTACATATATATAGTTTTTATGTAATAATTATATTTCGATCGAAACTCACGATGAACTATATGATGTCAATCGAGAAAGAAAGTTACATAGGAAAGTTACATAGGAAGTAATTAACTATCATCTCGCAATTATGGAAGCAGAGAAGTTCAGACTTCGTTGATCAGCAGGTACGTAAATATAAATGTGATTAATATTGTTATTTCCGGCCTAATAATTTCATAAAATCCACGGTCTTTGGTGTAGGTTTTCACGGTCTTCGGTGTGGATTTTGTAATAGCGAATAAATTAACAAAAACAAAGCGACTAGATTAACAAAAAACATTAATATTTTTAAAAGCGTGAGCGTAGTGCGCAAAAAATGGATAATTCAGTCATGAATAAATAAAAACTTTATCCATACTTGAATAAAAATTTTACATGCAAGCAGATGAAGCACAATTACCCTATATTTTTACTATAAAACCTATATTTTTCCGTCTTATTTTTAAATTTAGTATTTAAAAAATAAAATATTTTCGAATTTTTTTTAAATTACACGTTCTTTAATTAAATAGGATAAATGTTTTCTAGCAAAAATTGATTAAGTAGCAACGTTTATTTTTAATTATTTTCGTGACCAACTTTTAGATCAAATTCTATATTAAATTTAAGGTAGCTCTTAAAATTTGATAGATAGATACAGTTTACATTTGTAATTTAAAGTTTAATTATTTATAAGTTGTGTGGTGATTCGTATTAATGACATTAGTCTTGAAATAATCTAAATATCTGTACATCTGTGTGTGTATATCATCGTAAGACCACGGCTTAGATAGTTACAATATCTTTTAATCACTTGTGTTAAAGATTCTCTGGAGCCAATGTAATTACAAGAATTATGATAGAACGGAGTTATCCAACTGACTTTCTTGATTCATTGCTTTAGAAAATCTTGCGGTCGACGAACGAAAATCAATCTTGCGGCTAGTCACGAGTGACATAGAAACGAGATCGGTGACGAGAACTTTCTTGTACGTTCTCGCGGCAAGTGAAATTGCTACGCGACACAGGTTCTCACTTTATGATCATAAACGTTGGTAATGTCATGTCAAGCACACGAATGACGGAGTGCGACGTAAACATCCGGAGATCTCCAAGTGATCATAATAGACGCTTCGATCGGCTTCTCGAGCGATGTACTGTGACTAAAGTGACGTATTTTATTGTCACAATGGGAGTTGTTCAATAAAGCTTCAAATTGTTTATTGATTTCTATACCCCCATTTGAATGTAACTTCTAAATTGCTTTGACCATACAGTCGTACACAAAACAATTCGATCACAGAGTTCTTATAAAACCGTAACATTGTTGTTTTTCGTTTGTAACGATTTTTTAAATTGTGTCAATTTGTGTGAAACAAACATTTTTTATAATCATATAAATACTAGAAAAAACTCATTCTTATTTTAATAAAAGTGTGGTCGATTTTTTAATACCAAAGGATTGAATTAAAATGTGCCAACAATACATTTAAACTTCTCAACGTTCGACAATACGTAATAAAGAGGAGAAGTCATGATGAAGATATTATAAAAATATCCAAAATGTATACTTTTTAAATCTTCCTCAATGTATTATAATCGCTTTAACGATCGCTTCGATCGATTTAACGAATCGTCGTTTAAAGAATATAAATTGGAGTAATAAATTAAACAAAAATAGATTAGAAAGAAAATTAGGAAGCTTGACGACGATGAATACGATCTTCAGATACGAATGGCTGATAACAGAGAGGAAGGAAAAGCACCCTTTTATCGCGGATGACAATCTCCATTGCGCTAATCTCTCGCTTTGGTATCATTTCTAACAATCACGTCAGAATCGGATTATTCCGCTGACTAGTTTCTCTAAAGCAGAGCTGTAACGCAAATTCATGTTTTACATGTACTCGAATTCTCTCATATATCCGCGTACAGAATAACCGAAAAACAAATATGGCTAGTCACTTCAAAAACTGAATCCCGTATTTAAATATATTCGGAAAATATCCGGATAATACTGCTTATCCGGATGATAATATACGCAAATATTTACAGTTCTACCGTGAACATCATATCGCCCATTAACTTTCATCCGTTTCTTAAAGCAGCTGTCCTAACGTCGATATCCATTAGCAAATCCGACATATTTGCAGAATGTGCCGGACGATTATTTCATAATAATTATGCAAAAATGTAATTAGTACTTCACATTCACACCCATCTTTACATACGTTGCCAAGGTTTATATTTTTAGCTTCGTCTGTCTTGTTAGGTTTAGCTTTTAGTGATAATTGATTTCACCTTTCGACAAACAAAATTTGACTGCGAGCATCGTGATAATATCTTCCGAAATTCTTTAAACGTTTCACGAGGATATCACGACTCTGTATCTGCTTGCCTATCTCGAGATTCAACCTAGTGTTATATCAACGCCGCTTTACATGGCAGTTTCAATAATTCTATACTTATACCAATGCAAATACTAAATATGTATACGATGTTATTTACAACTTTTGACTGTATTCTCCATGTACAATAATAAGTGTGCGAGAAAGGAGCGAAACAGACGTTGCGTTATACTCCTCACGAGTATTATTCATTCGAAACGAAATTGTAAAAGTTAGAATTTTATGAACCATTTTCGCGAATCAAAGGAGGACTCCTTGAAGGTAAAGAACTCCTCTTTCATCCGTGGTCTATGAGTCTTGAATCAAATATACTCGAGCCTGATTAGCTTCTCGACGAGCTCTCTTCGGAGTAGAATACTATCTGATCTTTTCTAAATCAGCTTCGACTCAGTCGGTGCTAATCTGGACGACAATCGTTAAAGAATAAAATCGCATTTTTTTAACGTCAACAGTAATTATCCCATCACTTTCAATGACTGTCCGTAGTTCGCGCGAGAGAAAGAACTTTCGACAGTTTCGCATAATGTTCTCGCAAATAAAAAGATTGGGTTCATAAATATTCCATAGCTCGGAAACATGTGCGCAAAACATGTACACGTGGTTCACGTATTCAACGGATATGCGTACCTCGATGTAATTCGTATAGTCACGTAGCCCACTAATATTAGAAACATAAATATAAGTAGTTTGTACTTTGATGCAATTTGCGTTCCATGCGATCAGGCATCCTCGAAATCCATACAAACAAATTTTTTAATTTTTTGCTACCCAATTTTTATCCCCTTTACACTTTCACTTGATATTTAATATTTCCACCTAGAAATATTTTTATTTTAATATTTCCTTCCAACTTACTTCCACTTTAAGAAATTTAATGATATATGTGTAATAAAACATAACTGCGCTTGTCTTAGCGTCGATAAGCTGCCGTGTCTCTTGATAAACAATCAGAATACAAGACAAGAAAATTAAATATAATATATTAATAATGAATGAATAAAGAGTTATAATATATAAATGGTCGATAATAATTCTAATGATAATAAATTTAAATTTAATTTTTCATTATTACCAAAGAGCTGGTACTCTTACTCTTTACTATATTTTTTCAGGAATTTTAATCTATCTAATATATCGTTTAATACTATTTATTCATGTCATTATTATAAAACAGTAAAGATTAAAAATAATAGAATTGTTCAAATAAATTAAAGTAAATTCATGAAATTGGGAAGCGCAAAGGGTTAATACCTTACATTTTTCAGGGTATCGATTAATTTGAATCATACAATAATCATTTATTATCATTTGTAGCGTAGCAAATATGCACTTAATACCCACTTAT